TGAATGACCGCGAGAATGTTATATTATAAAAACACAAAAATGCGATCACAATAACTACCGCCAAATAAGATTTTAATTGCGCGCCTAAATCGCCCCGAAGGCGCCAGCTTCCGGGACAGCGAAGGGACTTGGCTGTGGCTTCACAAGTGCCCGCGCGGGAGGGCGGGGATGCGTCGTCCAGCCTTTTAAATGCGAAAAAATTATGCCTGGAACGTGAGCCGCGAACGCGCTGCCCAACCCTCTGATTTTACCCTCCTCCTTCGGTACGAAGGCGAGCGTCTCTGACGGCTGCCCCCTGCGAACACACCAATGCTCTCACAGTTGCCTCCGAGCAGACGCCATCATGTACGTGACATGGCGGTACGGTAATTACGATAGTTATAGCGCGAAAACAAAACGACGACACAGAGACAAGAAGGACACGAAAGACACGAGCACTTGACACGAGCACATGACAAGTTACGCTTTTTGGATTTAAGACTGGTTTTTAGCTCACAGCAAATCTGTTGGTGTTATGAACCACGTGAGCAGAAACCTCTACTTCCCCTTTCTTCCGCTCGCAGCAAGTTAGTTAAGCGAGGCATAGCACGAACCTGTCTTGAGAATGCCTTAAATAGGTCGTGCGCCCAAAATATCTCTGCGAGCTTCAAAGCTCAAGTTTCCCAGCTTAACGCTTCAGGTTTCGCCGAGGCGTTTATCGCTTCCGTTGCTAAGACTATCCTGCGGACTAATAAGGCAGAGCAGAGGCAGCGACAGAATCCGAGCAACACGGATACAGAACGTGAAAGGATAGCCATGATTCCATACAAACACCAGATATCACACAGGCTCAAGAAAATCGGAAAACGTGTTGGAGTTCGTGGCCTGTTCTCGGCACCATTCAAATTAATCAGCCTCACCAAATCTACCAACCCCCTGAAAACGTAGTCACTATATAACGGAATGCAGAGTTCAACATAGAAACAGGTATGCGGCATGCTCCCGGGAAGTTGTCTATAGGACCCCCCTTTTATGCGGTGCTTGTTATGTCGGAACGACCGGAAGGTGTCTGAACGATCGGCTGAGAGAACACGCTAACAATGTTAGAAACGGGAAAGATGGTTTTCTTGACGATAGTTATAGAGCGAGAACAAAACGACGACACAGAGTCCTTCTTGTCTCTGTGTCGTCGTTTTGTTCTCGCGCTATAACTATCGTCATGCCATACCAACTAGCCCAAGCTGCCACACTTCTAAGTTACATGGTTTTCTTGCTCAGCACTGCACTGAATGCAATTGTGTGCCCCTTTTCAAGGACACAGCGACGCCGTACAAGCAGAAAGATGAGCGCACCCGAGTCATTCTTGAGGCCGCGCAGATGGCACGCGAACAGGTGCCTTGCATTAGCAAGCCCTCCGTGGCTCTGTCCGAGAACAAACTAAGGTTCCTCGAAGGTTTCGGTGCGCGCAAGTAGTTATATTATCTTTACTTTTCTGTTTCGTTTCCATATAGATTTTTTTTGCCGTTTTTCTGTGCTTTTGTTTTTTGTTTCTCTTATGTTCTGCTCTTTGTGCCATATGGTTTTTGTCACATGGTTACTGTCTCCTCTATATATGTTCGTGTTCTGCGCAATAAACTCAGTTGGAAGTTAGCGCTCGTGTCTTTCGTGTCCTTCTTGTCTCTGTGTCGTCATTTTGTTTTCGCGCTATAACTATCGTCATGCCATACCAACTAGCCCAAGCTGCCATACTTCTAAGGTACGGTAATGTCACGTGACTGAGCGGTACGGAGGCAAGCGGTCTCACGCGGCGGCCGGCCGCAACACAAGGCAGGAGGCATGGCCTGCGGGATTTCGTGCTTGCAGGAGGCTCCCGATTGAAGAGTGAGACGTTCCAGAAATAGTTTTTCGAAGCATTTTTCGAAGCAAGAGAACTTCGGCGACTTCGAGACTATCTATCTATCTATCTATCTATCTATCTATCTATCTATCTATCTATCTATCTATCTATCTATCTATCTATCTATCTATCTATCTATCTATCTATCTATCTATCTATCTATCTATCTATCTATCTATCTATCTATCTATCTATCTATCTATCTATCTATCCAGCCGTCTACGACTTTTAGCTCTCCTGGCCGGTTAAATAATGGTATCAATACCAAACTTGGTATGACATAATATGAATGTATGACGAAGATATTTGATTAGTCATAACATGAAAATCATGACATTTATGTCATGAATGTCATGATTTACATTTGATGGTCTTGCAGCTCTTGTGGTAGTTTCGTTCACATGGAATGTTGCAAAACTGGTATGGTTTCGCATAACTGCATGACGAACACAAGCGACAGACCTAACATGAAAATCATGACATGCGTAACATGTAACAACGTGACTACATGCCACGCTCATGATGCGCTCACGGCCGTTTCGCTAGCGTCACATATACCAAATTTGGTATTACAGTACGTGAATGGATGACGAAGGTATGTGACTGGTGCAAACATAATAATCATGCATCGAGATGCGTGTCATGTAACAACATGACTACATGCCGCGCTCATGATGCACTGGCGGCCGTTTCGCTAGGTTCACTTATACCAAATTTGGTATTACGGGACATGAATGGATGACGAAGGTATGATACTGGTGCAAACATGATAAGCATGAGATGCGTGTCATGTAACAACATGACTACACGCTACGCTCATAATGCGCTCGCGGCCATTTTGCTAGCTTCACATGTACCAAACTCGGTATTACGCGAATCGAACGGACGACATAGGTAAATGGCACATCCTAACATGATAATCACGACATGCGTGCCATGTAACAACATGACTACAGGTCACACTGATGATGCGCTCGTTGCCGTTTCGCTAGCTCCGCATATGCCAAATTTGGTATTACGTGACGCCATGGAATGGATGACGAAGGTATGTGATTAGTGCAAACACGACAATCGTGAGATGCGTGTCATTAAAGAACATGACTGCATGCCACAGTCAAGGCACCAATACATTTTGACGTGACGCAGTGAGCGTGGTCACTGGCGTTCATGTCGTCGCGTCACGCCGACGTTGCCACGCAAGGCTCCAGTCCTGCAATATACTCGCAGGCGCGCGCCGCGCTGCGTTGCTTTGACGCATGCGCGTTTCAGCGCGTCGAGCGACCCTCCGTCACGAAAAGAGGGAAACGCAGTGCTGTCTGGGCAACGCATTGGCGCGAAATGCAGCGTGTCGCATTTCGCGCCGGTTGCCTTCGGGCCGCGCCGACGGACGCTGGCCGCGCCGGTCGCCACTGGCATAGGGTATAGAGTGCTGGCGTTTTGCTAACGTGGTGTCGCTGAGCCCAGCGTGCGCGTGCGTCAACGTTACGCTGGAGTATATTGGGCCCTTCATGATGCACTCGCGGCAATTTCGCTAGCGCCACATGTACCGAACTTGATGTTACGTGACGCTTATGGGTGACGCAGGTATACGACTCGTGCAAACATGATATTCATGACGCGCTTGTCATGTAAGAACATGACAACATACCATGCTCATAGCGTGCTCGCGGCTGTTTCGATAGCTCCACATATACTAAATTTAGCATCACTTGACGTGAATAGATGACGAAGATAAGCGATCGACACATCCAAACATGATAATCATTACACCGAAGTCGTGCACAGAATATTTACCTTCACCTCGTAACGTTGTGGTGATTTTAAAGTGACATATCAACCCTCCTTATTCGTGCTTCGCATATCATATCGATTTCCACTGTACGTGGAATCTGCCAGTTTTTTTAATGGAGGTCAGTGCTAGCATGTGAGCATTATACGAGGCGATGTGAGTAATTTGCGCAAAGTTGTGCTTGAATAGAATTATGAAGGTTGATAGTAATTTAAAAACATAGAAACCGAACATGTGCTCGGTATTTATACTTCATATCGTGCTACGTACGAAACTAAACTAAGCAATGCATGCGTATTGTGATCAGAGTTATTCTGTACTGTACGTGCACGGTAAGGATTCACTATCCATGCCGGCCTCTCCAAATGTGCGCACGTATAGGGATCCCTATTACAGAAAGAGATAGTACAATAGAGAACGTACAAACGACACATGTACTTGCGTGTGTATGGCGTGTGTGTGCGTCTGCGCAGTGTGATCTTCCGGCTTCAGGTTGTTCTGATATCGAAAATGGCAGGGATGGAATCTGGCCTGCAAAGGATACACTGGGCGAGTGGCAAATTAAGGTTTCAAGCTACCCTCCTATCCCCATGCTCGCGACTTGTAATGAACCAATAAAAAAATGTTAGTGATACAAAGCTTTTCATTGGGCACGCAACAACTTCCAGTGTTTATATAAAATTTCTCAAGTGACCTTTGTGAAGCGCCGTTTAAAAAGGAAATGGCAAAGAAAAGGAAAAAAAAACACGCGGACATCTTTTATTTAACTACACTGTACTTTCTCCTGATGACATTCCACGATTTCGCATTCATTCTCCGTCGTCCTGCGGCTGCACAGAAGGCCATGACGATAGTTATAGCACGAGAGCAGAACGACGACAAAGAGACAAGAAGGGCATTTTGTCATCGTTCTGTTCTCGCACTATAACTATCGTCATGTCATACCAACTAGCCCAAACTGCCACACTTCTATGCACAGAAGCACCTGCTGTTCGCGCATGCCAGCAGATGCCAGGGAGAGGCCGAGCAGACGACGCGACGTGGATGAATACATGTGCAGAGGCTAATCAGCCTTCCTATTGGTTAAGAGACCTTTTAGCCTTGACAGTTCTGAAATGATTATAGCTCAATTGCGCATGATAGCTTTAATACCGCTCTATAAAACCGACGTGATGAAACTCTGTGCTGATCTTGAACTGTAGGAAAGCGAAATTTGAGAATAGTGTTCATATAGGTTCCCATTTTTTTTTCAGACGCAAACGTAAAAAATAGGCACTCACAGGCACTATAAAACACCATAAAAGCCCTTATTAACCCTTAATTCATACTCATATATCAAAGGGCACGATAGGAACGCAAGAAATAGAAAAGGCATTTGTCCATCTTGAACAAGCACCAGCGCCGCCGTCGTAGTCAATGACCCGATCTAAAGGGAACAGCCCAATGATTATCGCCACTCTTTCTACGTGCTGGAGTGCGGTGACTTTGCTCAAGTGGTGAGAAGAATGTCCGGCTGTCTTTTGCTCTAGCTGGGCCCGCTGCTTGAACCAGCATGAGCGAACTGACGCCAGACGAGGTAAGACGCTGCAGTTATCGCATCACTTGTTTCTCCACCGCTCTGGCTTCTTCACGCCGCTGATGAGCTCTGTCATCACGGTAGATTGTGGACGAGTCATCGCCTGTGATGAAAACCCGATTTGTTGTCGGATGGTCGACCGCAGTTCCGGAGCTCATGGTGCGATTATCGAAATAACACGATTGACATTAATTGCTAGTGTGTTTGTGATTTAGTTGTCAGTCGCAGGATTCTCTGAAATATTTCCCCGAGTCTGCTAGTTAGCGCACATCTAGTTGTATGCTGCATATGCAGCGTAGTAGTGTTTCAAGACTTTCCAGTTCTTGCTTGTTTACCCATGTTTAAAGACCTCGTATCACCGGGAGTGAGATGGCAAAAGCACAACCTGTCAAATGATGCAGTTAACAACAAATAGAATGTTTCTCTCGTATTCGCGGCCACTGTGAAAACAGTGCCTGTAGTGTCACGATTAGTGTCCGATGTCGCAAATTCATCGAGGTCAATGAGGGTGGCGACTTGGGCTTGTTGGTATGGTTGCATGATGATAGATGGTAGCGCAGACAACGAACACGGACAAGAGAAGGCACCCCGCGAATGCTCATTCCAGCCTCGAAGTCTTGCGCAATGCCTTCGTTTCCAATGACGTGCTGCACTCGCGTTCCGGTGTGTTGACAGGAGTGAACTTCGTGTCACGTGATGACGAGCCGAAGGCTGCTAGAAATTAACGTTAGGTAGGAATGCGGTACCAGTTAACTTATTTGTTACACTCATTACTGTACTTAGAAGATACTGGGATCCCGTTGTGAGATTTTCACAGGGTGAGCAAGACTTCGTGACAAGTCTAGTTTGGCAAAGATTGGCAAAAAACATAGCATAGGTACTGGTGCGAAAACAGCACAGCATTAATAAATGGCACACCGAATACATGAGTTATAAAAAAAAACAAGCCATTGGGCATTAGTACATAATTAGACATAAACAAGTTTAAGAGGAATGTTGCTTTACATGATTTCACAGTTGATTACATTCATTGGACCTTCTTCCATGACCGGCCTTCGTCAGAATAACAGGGTTGATAACAAGACCGGCCGAAACGTAAAAGAACATAGTGTTTTAGACGTGTGTCTACTTTTTATTCATATTTTGTGCCAGCATCCCAGAAGTTATTCTCTGCAATTATATATATATATATATATATATATATATATATATATATATATATATATATATATAGCAAGAGGTAATAATATATATACCAACAGTTGGTAGAGCATTGAACGCGTTATTCGCAGGTTCGGTTCCTGCCCACGGCAAGCTATCTTTTCATGTACTATTCTTTCTTCACATTTACATTACTGTTAGATCTAATAACTTCCCTTTCAGGTGGCAAGAATTTGTTGTATCCAGTATGTTGCCAGTAATTGTATCATTATCAGGTTCGCCTTTATGTGATGACAATGAAAAAAATTTTGAAATCTAATGACTGATGATGTTAAGTGACATATTCTTATATCTGATCCTGTTAAAGTGGGTACACTGCATAACTGTGCACAATTGTGAACAGCTGTACTAGTGGCACTGTAGAAATTAGGCAGGGAATAACGAGAATATCAAGGTAAATAACATTGTGATGGAAACAGAAGGCTCACAGGCCGAGAGAAAAGTGCTTGAATCTCTGCAGTATGATGGCACTTGCTGAGTTAGAAAAAAAGTTTTAAAATTGGCTCTTCTTTTTAATGTCCGAAACGTGCTGTAAATGCAGGCATCAGCCATTTGGGAATGGTCTGTGCCACCGTATCTTTGTATCATTGGTCCTCAAATGGTCGAGGCACTTTGCAAATTCGTGATTTCATCTGTGCACCCCTCAACTTACTGTCATGCAGCAGCACCTTAGCTTTCACATTGATATCCACAGCCTTTCTTTTTAACCCCTCTCCCCTTTGTGTAGGGCAGCGAATTCTAGTTAAACTTTCTTCCTTTCCCTGTCTCCCAAAGCTTGAAAGTGTGTGCCTAGAGCCTTTTTTTTTTTTTGTTCTCATGGATGCTTCACTATCTCCTCAGTGCATGCTACATGCATTAAGTCTTTCCAGATAAGCTTTAATGAGTGTTGGTTGTGCACAAGCAGTTAGCAATAAATCACGAGTGTGCAAACACTTTGGAGTGCCTCTTTATTCGTTATGTTGGTTTCAGCTGCGCAAGCGACGCCTGGCAAGGCTAGCTGTGCGCGTGCCGAGCTTGGAAAACGCCATGGAGACTGAAGAGGAGGACTGCCCTAGCAAGAGGTGCGCTGCCAGTTTGTGTTAACTCTCTGGCGAGGGCTTTGCATGACACTGTCCGTTCATTTTAGTTAATGCACATTTTGTGTAGTGAACTGTGTCCATTTTCGTTTGGTTACGGCTTTAAAAAATACGAGCACGGTTCTTATGAAGAGATGACTTGTCAAAATTAGAGTGAAGGTGCTTAAGGGCCACGAAACACTGTCACAAAAAATCAAGTAAAGTGGAGATCTAAGGGCAAATTTTTTTTTGTTAGACACAATAGTAATGAGACATAGCAGATAAAGAAGCCAAGGAAAGCATAGGGGATGTTATTTGTAATAAAATTGTAATGGTAAACGTAAAAAAAGACAACTTGTCACTGGCAGGAACCGAACCTTGTGGCTTTCGAATAATGCAACTGACGCTCTACCAACTGAGCTACAGTGGTGGCGATTCCCCTACTGTCTGTCCTCTTTATAGTGTATATATGTGCATTTATTAAGCGTGGAAGTGTTAGCGCTGCTGGTAGCCATGACTGCAAGTGTGCACTCTTTTTGGTGGCCTTCAATCATAGCAAGCGTCTTGTTCAGGCACAGACTTGATGCTTTGAGGTGGTATGCGAGGGATTATTGGTCAGTTGCTAGCTCATAATAAAATTATGTGCTGCGTGCCGCCATCAGGCAAAAAAGTTTTCCACACTCGTCGTCATGGTTACTAGCACTGCTGACTAATACTCCCATGTTTAGATGCACATACTATATACCAAATAAAGCTCAATTGGTAGAGCATCAGATGCGTTTTTCACTGATCACAGGTTTGGACCGTCCTTTCTTTCGATGGTCACAGGTTTGGACTTTCCGTTCTTTATATTTCTATCAAAATAACTGGAAATAACATCATCTATACCCTCCTTGGCTTTCTTGTCTATTAGTGCTCTCCATATGACACTCACAAACATAAACTTCTTGGCTAATCTTTTCTGTTGCGAGAAATATCCAACATGCATTCTCCACATTTCTTTTTTCAGATTCATCAAGTGCCACTGGGCCTTCGTGTGCACAAGCATAATTTTGCAATCCTTGAAGGACAGATCATTAAAGAAACAATGCTAGCATTGCATGTTATGGGACTGCAGGAATGTCGTAAGCTAGTTCTGCTACAGGTGCCTGTGCTTAGAAAAGGTTTTAAAATATCTTTGCTTGCCTTACTAAGAATTGATAGGGAGCATTTGCTGGATTTTCCTTTTGCACCACAGTAGTGGAGGTCATTGAAAAGCAGTGTCTTTGAGCCAAGGTTTTGCGCATGTTCCTATTAACGAGCAGCATGTGAACACAGCACAGGTTCTGGTCTCGCTGATGGCTCGTGAATCTTTACGTAATGTGTTTGCAGTGTTGACGTTGGCGTAGACAGCATGGAGACAGACGAGCCACTCTCAGAGCCAGTCACCACAGCCACGTTGAATAAGAGCAGCGAGGACCTGCACGAGTGGCTACCACAGCTGCTAGGGGAATCGCAACCACTTTGCTCAAGTGAGCATCTACTGAAGTTTTCATCTACTAAAAATTTGGTGGCAGCATTCTAGAAACATTTTACACTACATCAGGCAGTACACATAAATGCTGTTGAAATGATGGAAGGAAGGGCTTGCACTTTTTCTTGAAAAGGTTAACCACTCACGGACACTATTTTAGATACTGTAGCTCAATCACTGCACACAGACTAGAAAGAGCACATCCTAAATAACCAAGCACAGCATCTCTTTATACCATACTTGTTATGGTATAACAACATCTTCATCATATCTTCGTACCTGAGTAACCGCAAGCAATTCGTCCGCATTGATAATGACTGTTCACAATCCCTCCCCGTGTCATCTGGTGTCCAGCAAGGAAGTGTCTTAGGTCCTTTGTTGTTTCTCATATATGTTAACGATATTGTGGATGTAATTGCTGGCCCTGTTCAAATAAGGCTGTTTGCAGATGATGGTGTATTATTTAATGAAATAACATGCCGAGATGACCAATCAGCATTGAATTCCAATCTTTGTAATATATATGACTGGTGTACTAAGTGGAATATGAACCTAAATGCCGACAAATCAGTTTTTATGAAAATAACCAATAAGAAAAATTCTCTATCCTTCCCTTACAACCTTTCAGGACAACCTTTGAACGAAGTTACAGAATATAAGTACCTGGGTCTTACCATAACAAATACTTTAAGTTGGAACAAGCACATATCAGACATTTGTGCATCATCCTTTCGTAAACTGAGCCTTTTAAGACATAAGCTCAAATATGCTCCTGCAAGTGTTAGAATGCTAGCCTATACATCTATTGTAAGACCGAAATTGGAGTATGCATGTATAATCTGGGACCCTTACACAAAAACTAACATTCATGCACTTGAGATGATTCAGCATAAAGCGGTTCGGTTCGTTTACTCAAAATACCGTTCGAGCGATTCCCCAACCCAACTCATGAGAGACCATAACATACCAACCTTAGAACTAAGACGTAAAATCCAAAGATTAAAATTTCTTTATCTTTTCAAGAATAACAAATTGTCAATGAGACCAGAACAATACATCCAACCACTCACCGCTCGCAGAACAAGACACCGGCATGCTGACTCTCTAACGCCCTTCAATGCTAGAACTAACATTTTCAAATTCTCCTTTTTCCCGCGCACTGTAACCGAATGGAATCAATTACCAGCATTATTCATAAATAGCATAGACTCAATTGAACATATTGTATCTTGACCTGTATTGTTAAAGTGTTAAATGTCTTTCTTATTCATTGTTTGAGTTATGTCCTTATTCTTCGCGCTTTTCATGTTCTTGATCTTCTGTTGTCCTTATTACGAGCTTTGTAAATATGTCCCTCCTGCTTGGGCCCTTCACTGGGCCTGCAGTATTATGTGAATAAAAATAAAATAAATACTTAATTGAATGTCGCCCTATTTTTGAGAGTCCTAAATAAAAATAGTGTTACAAGGTCTCTTAAAACTAGTGCGCTGCTATGTTGACAGTCAGAAAAAGAAAAACGAAAGGCCAGCGCAATGCAGCCTCCTTAAAAGTGAAATTTATACCGTAGCTGTGGCATTGCATGTACACATCCGCTTCAGCTATGCGAGGTGCGGGGTTCGATACCCAGTGCCGGCCGGCCACCCACCGGTAGCTAAACAGGGTACAGGCGGGCTTCGAGGGGCTGTGACGCGTCGCCCCAGTGGTGAATGAAGCTTACTCTGCCTGGATACTCCCAACACGCTGCGTGGGGACCCGGTAAAAGTGAAATTTATGTACTGCCACTTTTCCTGGTTTTAAGGTCGATTCGAGATATGACTCGATTGAGTGCCTTTTCAAGGGCCTCGGCAGGCTCTGCCTGCCCAGAGCTGCTTGACAAAGCCAGAAAGCTCGCCATCGAGGTTCAGATATTTTCTCTTTTTCAGCTCATAGCTACACTTCCTGATTGACATGCAGCTTTGCCTCTGTTAGCACCACTTGGGGGCACACAAAATTGATGCAAGTTAGCTGTACTCGGCATGCAGAGTAAATTTGTGTTGATATTGTCACAGGGTCATGACACTGACGAAAGCAGAGATGGCTTGTCTAAAATGAAATTGTTTATTTGGCCGAACTTGTGACCAGCAAACGGAAAGTTGGATTACAGAGACGCACACTAGCACTGATAGGTGATAACAGAGCATCGGTCGTCAATCATCCGATCATCATTGAGACCTGTCTTCTATACATCACGATTGGAACTTCCCAGCCTTATCTCTGGTGGTCATGGAAGCTCTGGAATAATCTTGAGTGTTTGCGCCCTTCGCGCAATCTTAACAAAATGACTTACTACAATCGAGAAGCTTCTTGAACACTTGAGGCGTGATCTGCATTGGGTATTTCTCACAGTATTTCTGGGTTTAAGGGGGGACGCGGCTCTTGAAAACCGAAAAATCGCGAAAAAGTCGGTTTTTGAAAAACCACATTTTTGGGTTGTATGTCTCGTAAACTACCTATTCTGTAATTATCAGCACCTAATTCAACCGCAAAGTGCAAAAAAAAGTACTATTTTCGAGGCCGCCGCGGCGTCCAAAACAGGCGCAAATCCCGAAATCAAACCAAACTTCGCGCGCGCGCCATTCCCGGACCATGCGGTCGTCCCGCGCCATCTTGGTGTTGTTTTGACCGTGAATTCTTTCTCTCTCGTTCGCCGCCTTGCAAAACGGCGTCGGCAGCACAGTTGAGACGCTATTGGCGTTTTCCCGCGATGCGATGCGGAGCGCTGATTGGCTAGAGCAGCGCATTCATATCTCGCGGGAGAAAGCGTGCCCGCCATTGGCTGCTGTGCAGCAGCGGGGGCGGTCGCTCCTCTCGATGGCGCGTCCAGCGCGCTCGCTTCGTTGTTGCTCTCTGCTCCGTCCGCCTCGACAGACGTCTGCTTACGAGCCGCTCTTCGCCTTGTGCCATCTTTTCGATCATTTTCTCGTTTTTTTTTTTTTTTTTGCACTAGTTCTGTGCCTTTCTGTGCCTTTCGGGCGATGCCGGCAACGAAGCCGAAGTCAGTGCGGAAGTCCGGTGCGCGGAGGCGCGCTATGCGGCTTGTACCATCATCGAAATTCCGCTATTCTGCTGCGGGTGCCGACTGCGTAGACGCTTGCAGCGACGGAACTGTGTTGTCGGCTGTCGCCAGTCGAGAATCCGACACATCGAGTGTGGCTGGAGCCGCAAATGCACCAAGTGTTTCCGAGATCGCCGGGCTCGACACGTGCTCCGAATCGATGCCATCCAGTGTGACACCGAGTGCTTCTGATATCGCCGGACCCAGCACTTCGTCTGAATCGGTGCCATCGAGCGTGACACCGAGTGCTTCTGATATCGCCGGACCCAGCACTTCGTCTGAATCGGTGCCGCCATCGAGCGTGAGTGGACCGTCGCTTCATCTGCGGACGCGTTTCCTAACGAAGGAAGAAATCGATGCGAATGCGAAACGTCGTGACGCCGTTCGCGCTGAACTCGAGTCTACGCCGGCGACGCAGAAGAAATTTCAACTGATGCAGCCGGCTCTTGCACCTGCAGTGACAAGTGAGGGCGAACATTATTCGCTCGTTCAAATGAACATCTTTAACGTCGTGCTCAGCCGCACAGTGTGCAAAGAATGTTTGAAAGGTGCTATGACTGTCCGAGAGAGCACCAAGCTTGGACTTGCAACAAAACTTGAAGTCGTGTGCGCCTCTTGTGGCACCGTCGATAAATTATGGACATCACCCCGCAAAAAGGACACGCAGGCCTTTGATGTAAATGTCCGCGCCATAATGGCTATAAAGCAAATAGGCAAGGGGCAAACAGCTCTTAATCACTTTTGGGCTGCCATGAACGTCTCTTACAGAGGTCTTCACCACAAGACGTTTCAAAAGCACTTGAAAGAGACGTTCAGGAAGCCAGAGGCCACCGCTTTGGAGAAGTTTTATGCTGATTCTGCCACAGCAGTGATCAAAACATATAAAGAAATGGACTTCAGCTTCTGCAAGGACATCACCGTAGTGTACGATGGCACATGGCATAAGCGGGGTCACACATCACACATCGGAGTGGGATCGGTAATTGACTTCTTTACAGGTCTCATCTTGGATGCTGTAGTTCTTTCAAACCACTGCCTTGGATGCCAAACAGGGCCCAAACCTGGAGATGCAGCATACGAAAGCTGGCAGAAGCACCACATTTGCCAGAAGAACACAGACGCAAAATCGGGAAGCATGGAAGTGGAGGCAGGCTTGACTCTCTTTGGGCGGTCTGTATCCAAGCATGGCCTGCGGTACACCACTCTTGTGTCCGACGGAGACAGCCGTACCTTCGCTGCCCTCACAGAAGAGAATGTGTACGGGCTAGTGCCAATTGTAAAAGAAGAATGTCTGAACCATGTTCAGAAAAGGATTGGAAGTGCTCTTCGAAACATTGTGCAGAAAAGTGATAAGCCACTGAGTGGGAAGGGGAAGCTGACAAAAGCCCTCATTGAAAAGCTGACAGGATATTATGGTTGGGCCCTGAGAAACAATTCAACTGACCTAACAGCCATGCAGCGTGCAGTGATGGCAACATATCACCACGTCACATCGACTGACCAGGACCCTCACCATGAACTTTGCCCAGAGGGGGCTCAATCGCGGTGCCGCCATAGAGCTGCAGAGGCAAAGCGTGAGCCACAGCCAAAACATAAACACAGCCTACCGGACTATGTCGCTGCAGCTATGCTGCCCATCTACAAAAGACTGTCACAAAAGTCGCTTCTTCAGCGCTGCCTGGGAGGGAAGACGCAAAATGCATCAGAATCATTCCACTCCATTCTGTGGTCTCTGATGCCGAAGGAACAACACTCATCCTTGATCGCGGTAGAAACAGCACTGCATGAAGCAGTGCTGCGCTACAATGCCGGCTGCTGCAAAGCAACCCAAGTGATATCGGACTCCATTGGACTTCAACCAGGTCATCTGGCCATCCAGCGAGCTTGTGAAAAAGACGCTTTAC